TATACTATGAAGCTTATCTATAAATAATATATAATAAATACTGATTTAAGTAGTCATATATAATTTTATAGTATACAAATGTAAAGGAAGGATGGAAAATATGTTTGTGTCTTCATAAGAGCTAAATCATCAAAAGATGGACATCAGGAATATGCAAAATTAGTAACTAAGCATATTTTTAGAATGGGGAGATAAATACAGAAACTTTATTTAGAATTAAAAGTGCTTTTCTCTGTGATTCTGAAATAGGCATTGGTATAACACAGAACGAGGAGTCTTTTCAGAGACAAGCTTATGAGGTTTAGTGACTTAACTTTGCACATGTATATCTTGAGTTTAAAAGAAAAGTAAAAACACAGTGATACAAAAACTAAATGATGTACATGGTAGTGTGTCTGGTATAAATATTGAAAAATCTTTATGGCAAAATTTTTATTTGGCTTTATACTTAGGAATATGTGAAATATATAGTGTGTGGAAGAAATATAATTCCTACAACATATACAAAAATAAGGTCCAGTTGGGTTTAAGATCAAAATACTAAAAGCAAAACTACAAAATCTTTAGAGCACTTGAGATACAGAATAAAAGGGAGAAATCATAAGCAAATGATAAATTTTACAATTTTATGTACAAACTTTCTGTAAGATAAAATTCTGAAAAGTAAAAAAAAACTATTGTATAAAAGAATGTATGGATCACTGCAAGCCATATAGCCACCAAATAATTTACATATAGAATATTTATCATAGGATTTTTAAAAATTATTAATAAAAAGACAAAAAACAAATAGGAAAATGAACAAAAAACTTGAACAGTGATTTCATCAAAGAGTTAAAAAAAAAAAAAAACAACTAACCAAACCACAAGCTATCTGATTTCACCTGTAACTGGGGAAGATGCAAAATAAACTGTTCATCAGATTAGTAAAAATTAAAGTTTTGATAATGCTTACATGTTAGATAAACATTTTCCTTCTGATACAAGACGAACTTTCAACTACTTTGAAAAGCAAATTGGAAAAAATATAAGAAAATTCAAGTTGTTTTAAATCCAAACAAGTTTCTTGTTAGGTATCAATTAGAGAAACTGAAAAGGGGCATAAGGTTTGTATCAGTGAATATATCAACAAGATTTGTATAGGAAATATCTGAGAAGGATAAATATCTTTTAACTGTTTAGTGAATCAATATTGCAGAATACAATACCTAGTTAAAATAAATGGGCTGGGGATTTAGCTCAGTGGCATAAGTGCCTGCCTGGCAAGCAACAGGTTGTGAGTTTGATCCCAATTACAAATGAATAAATACATAAATAAAATAAAGTAAATAAATAAACATAAAGCACCAGATACAGTGTATCATAAATCTAAATGAGGTGTTGAATTGACATTTTACCAAAGATGACTCATGCCCAGTCTGCATACGTTAAGGTACTACCATTAGTAATTATAGGGAAACATAAATTAAAACCATAGAGATACTACACATTCTCAGTAGCTGTTATCAAAACACAAAGTAACAAGTGTTGGTAATTGGAGAAGAAGCTGAACGCTTTAGTGCTACTGATTGGACCGTGAAATGTATAGCCACTGTGGAAAACAGACTGGCAGTTCCTGAAAGTATTAAACATGGATTTACCAGCAATTTTGTTTCTGGTATATTACCAAATGAAAGAAGGGCCACAAACTAATATTTGTGCACGCATAGTCATAGAGGGTTTTTCAGGATAGGCATAACCTATTGACAGATGAATGGAAAAGAATGCATGATAACATGTTATTAAAAGGATGGCTATTACGATCCATGCTACAGCATGAATGAACCTTGTAGACATCAGGGAAAAATTCTAGTGACAAAAAGCCAAGTGACATATGACTCTATTCATAAAAGGACGACCAGTAATGGGTCCTGTAAGAAACTTTTAATATTATTATGTTTTTATAATGATATTTTTCCATGATTTAATTGCTCCGCAGTCAGTGTAGACTGCATAGGCACCTGGGCAAGCTGTGTAGGGGAGGACACAGTGCAGTGCTAACTCTGCTTCCTTCACCACCACACGCAGTCTAATTGAAACTGTAAATCTTGGTGAGTAAAACGCAGCGATTACTCACAACAGTATTTCAGCCTACATACAATATGTGTATGCCTGTGATGATAGGTCTTTGTTGCTATTAAGCAGACATATAAACCTATTTAATTAGTAAACTTGAGCAAGAATTTCCATTGATTTATTAGTTGTAAAAAATAAAGTCAAATAACATACTAGTTTTGTATTTATATTGCCCTCCTTTTTGTTGTAATAAAAAGTATAAAAAACATGTTTTGTTACTTACATATATTAATACATAAACTATATTGCATATTTTATAAGTGATCTGGGACAATTCCTTTTCCTTCATTGCATGTGAGCAAGCCACAATATTAGAAACTCACACTCTAAAGTGCACAGTATTGCTTTATAGTAATATTAAGTATATGCTGACTTATAGTTCAAATTTAGAATGAATTTGTTAAGATTTGATCCCGTATAAGTTAAGGAATATTTGCATTTAAAAGGTTAAAATGGTAAAAAACAAAAAACTTCTGTCAAAATAAGCAAGTCACAGAAGGATGCTTATGATATATCATTTATTTTAAGTTTTGTAACTTACAAAAAAAACTATAAACTAACATTTAATAGCAAATACAGGATTTGTTTCCTTCCAAAGAAAAAAGAAGGTAACTCATATTGGGGAAGGAGTAAACAAGAATTTTAATCATGTATGAAAAGTTTTATGTCTTTAAGGTATGTATAGCAAATGTGATAAAACACTGGCTTCATAATTTGTACTGGTAGGTATTTGTAATTCCATTCCTTGGATTGTTCTATGTGCTGAAAATATTTCTTTTTTCTCCAAAGAGAGAATGACTTACAGAATTAGTACAAATCTTCAAAAGCCCAATTTAATCCTTTTTATTCTGTCAGTTCCTTTTCCTGACTCAGTACATACACGATTTTTTGAGCACTTTTGTAGTTTTCATCTTGCATATCACTTTTGTTCTCCTTGTCTGTCTGTTGGATTATTTGTCCTTTAGCCCAGAAATACTCAAGCTCTTGAGTCACTGTATTTGCTATATTCCAGATGTCTTAGACTGACCTTGAAGATCTGTCATCTTTGAACACATTTATAGGTTTCTATAGTCCTACTCTTTCCTCTGAGTTTCTGTTTTATTTCATTCCTATTTCTGTAATTGTTATGGGAAGAATATAATAAATATACAATTTATAAATTATTGACCACAGTGTGTGTGTGTGTGTGTGTGTGTGTGTGTGTGTGTGCGCGCGCGCACACACACTGGATTGGATGGAATGATTGAAATCTATCCTAAGTCATTAGCTGCCTCTAATATTCTTACTTTCTTTCACAAAATCTGTACCTTTTATGGATCATCCCCTTTCAAAAAGGAATGATTTTTGTTATAACAAACACACATTAACAGGTTATGGAAAAACAAAGGTAGTAAAATAGCCTTTGTAAATTGGATAATTTATAAGGTCTCATTCTTTATTTCTACCTTCTCAATCAACTTCATTGAATTCTTATAAAGACCATGTTAAGTACTGTGCATGAAAGCACTTTGAAAGTTTTGTAGTTCTACAAACATATAATAACATTTCTTAAGTAAACTCTAACGTAAAATAACAGACTATTTTCATGCATAGACCTTTATTATAGTGTTTCTTGAAATGTGATCTTCAGAATATTGACTGTTGAGAATATTAATCAGTGGTACCTGAACAGTACTTCTGTGAACGAAGCATTGTGGAAACACTAATTTAAATATAGATAAGCTAGTTTTCTGTACTCTTATAATTTTCTTTTGAGAGTAACAGATCAGGAAACTTTGTGATCTAGAGAGAGGGGAAATGGTTGGGGTGAGGAAGGAAAGAGGAGAGAGACTGTACAAACTAGAAATATTCTTTTTGAAGGGATTGTGTACCTTGGAATACAGTTCAAGATATGTTTTATTGTTTTCAGTGTTATATTTTCATTTTCTAAACTGCAATTTTGCTTTCTATAATTTGATCTTCATTAGTAAGAATGTTGAGTTAAAACCATTTTACTTCTTGTGTTATAGACGTTGTAACTTGTAGGAAAACAAGATAATTTTAAAATTAACTGTATTCTTGTTGAATAAGGAGTTCTGTATTTTCTATAAACTTGTTTTGAAAAGCTTGTTATAGTTAAATGCTTTTAGTAGATACCAAAGCCTACATTAAATGTGGCATATCTAAGGAGATGAATCTACAATATCCTGACAATATTCCTAATAATTGGATAATGAATTATTTGAAATTACAAATTCTGTTAGTATATATGTCAACTTTAGGTTCTATTGAAATGATACGTATTTTTCGTACCTATATTTCCGTAGTTCTTATATAACAAATGAACAATTTGTTTTTCATTTGTTTTAGTTTTTTGCTATTTAAATGATTCTCTTCTACATAAAAGTTATTCTTTCAAAACTTCAAATATTAAAGTGATTTAAATATTTTATTCTGTCTTTTCTGGTATTCTTGTGAATAGTAAATATGTGAATAGTAAATACACTATTTACTTTTGTATGCATGTGTGAAATATTTGAGGTAACATTTTATTTTCCAAAACATGTGCCCCATATTGACATTCTTGGACTTTACTATATGAACTTCAGCATATTTAACAAAGACTTGCCATTGAAATATCTTTTATCATAAAATATACTTAACCTCATTTCTTTTCTTTGTCATATATTTTAAATTATTTGTGACAATTCTAGGCAAGCTATTTTTATTTAAAGAATAATGCTAGTACAGTGATTCAAAATTGTAGGTTATAGAAAATCAATAAAAGTTTTTCTTTTGGTTTTCTTCTTGATTTTAAAAATTTATAACTTGACCAATGCTTATTTTATAGTATTTGTTTTAATGTGTTCCTTTATTTAATTTTTTTTTTGTTTTCTTTTTTCTAGCTTGCAATGAGTGGAAAACATTGCCAAAACCAAATCTTCATAGAGATGTCAACAGATTTGGACATTCTGCAGTAGTCATTAATGGGTAAAAGAAACACATTTGAAATTTTTAGGGGGTCAAGGATATCAGTTCTTCATATAATTATTGATTTTGATATGCTGTTTGACAGTCATCATTGGTCTTAATGACACTGGATTTGATGTATTCTTATTGTGTTATAAAACACAATAGTTATTAGTTATTAGCTATATCCTTGTTTCTTTTTTCTTTCCAATACATATAGAGGTAGAGGAGTAATTAAGAAAGTTTTTCCTGAAAGTCATTGTGAACTCTTTTTTCAGAGATGAGAAAAAAATAATAATAATTGTACCTATAAAAAGATCTGGCTAAAGGGCTAGAGTAACTGTCCACTATTTTTCTCAGTGAGATAAAGAAAGAATTAAATTTTCATTTTAATTAATGGAAAATAATGCATAACTTTTGACTAATCTCTTAATCTTAGATTTTAGATTTTATGTCCATTGGGAAGTTGGGCTGGATGAATATTAAATTATCTTTGCCCTTTACATTAATAGAATTTTTATTTCAGTATCAAAAATTTGGTAATTTGGGGGCTGGGGATTTAGCTCAGCAGTATAAGCGCCTGCCTTGCAAGTGCATGGTCATGAGTTTGATCCCTGCACGGTAAAACAAAAAAAAACAAAAAAAAAAATGGTAATTTGGACTAAAATGACACTACACAATTTGCAGCTTTATCCCTTAATTTAAAATATGGAATTCAGAATTTTATTATAACCTTATCCTAATTATATAAAAATTATCCAGTGTTGTCACACAGTGACTTGATAGCCATAATGAAACTGTGCAACTGTTATCAATTGAATCAAAATAATAATGAATGAAATGCAGTGTTAAAACTTTTAGGTTTCTCTGTTGAAACTGTGTTTGTTTGATTTTTGTTTCAACTGCTTCTCAGTGAAAGTTATTCTTGAAATATTTTTCCTATTTCCATTTATTATGTCAATATATATATATATATATATATACACACATATATATATATATATATTGTCTTTTTATCGGTACCAGGGATCGAACTCACGACTGCCTGCTTGCAAGGCAAGCGCTTATGCTGATGAGCTAAATCCCCAGCCCCAATTATGTTAATATTTTTAGAAGTAAAAAATATGCTGTTTATGAACATGTCAAACTTTTTTTCACACTAGTTAGTATCAGTTACTTTAGCACTGAAATTTTGAAGAGTTTTTTATTTTACTTTTGGTCTTTTATTTAAGAGCAAAACAAATGAGAAGATCTCTATCAAATTTCTAAATTCTATGTATTAATAATGACAATTCTAGATAAGAATTCATAAGTAAATCTTATTCATGTAAACTAATCTATTTCATCAAAATTATTTCCTGTTCTATTAAGACAATAGATAATTTTTCTGACAAGAATGTTATAATTCATTCCTTCTCTTTTTTTGGGTTAATAGAATGCTGTTTTGAAAACTTGATTTTCCTTAGTGTGTTAAGATGTATAGAATGTTTTAGGTTTCTTTTAAGAAGGCTTTAGGAAATCTTACAATAGTTCATATACTATTTTCATGGTATTATATGTTAGAAATATGATTTTCAAGACTGTTCTGAAAAAACATCTTTAAAAAGAATACTACCTTTTAAAAGTGAATTTGTTACTCAGAAACTGTTAATCTTGTTTTCTTAAGAGTTTTGTTTTTTTGGACTGGGCATGCATATAGCTCGGTGGCCTGCTTGGCAAGTGCGACACCCTGAGTTTGATTACTGGCACTAAAAAAAAAAAACCCAAAAAACCAAAAAACTTTTTTTTGTTTTTAATAGGTCTATGTATATATTTGGAGGATTTTCTAGTGTACTCCTTAATGATATCCTTGTGTATAAGCCTGCAAATTGCAAGGCCTTTAGAGATGAAGAACTTTGTAAAAATGCTGGTCCAGGCATAAAATGTGTTTGGAATAAAAATCACTGTGAATCTTGGGAATCTGGTAATACAAATAATATTCTTAGAGCCAAATGCCCTCCCAAAACAGGTAAGGCTTTTTCTCCTTTCTTTTCTGCCATCAAAATTTCTCTGTTTGACTAGAAGTAGAAATGTACTTTGCTGTTAGGAATTGTCTTTAGTGGCTTACAGAAATGAAAAAAATTATAATCTAATTCAAAATCTAGTGTTTGAATTTAACAGTGATTAATAATTTAATACCTTTGTTGGCTATTTATAGTTTTATTTTTGAAATATATGTGACTATTCTACATATGAATTATTTTGTCATATAAAGTAAAATACTTTTAAGTTACATCACTCTTATGAAATATTGTGTACTAAAACATGAAGATATTTATTCTTATTCTGAATTAGTGCCATAAAATTAAGACATTTTCTAGAACTTTATAATCATTGTTTCAATATATTTCTTTTAAATGTTGAATAATTCAGATTTATGTGAAATTACCAGTCAGTATCATTTTTATTTATTTATAATTTCGATAATATTGTTTAATTTGATTTACTTAGGTGAGAGCTTTTATGCATTTTTGATTATACAATTAAAATATACTTTCAAGTTTTGCTAGTCTATATTAACTCAGATTAACTAAATATTTTTATAAAGATTAATATAACAGTATTTTAGTGACATTTGTTTTGGATGTATAATACATTTTGTTTAATAAAATACTTATATTTTTTCACCTTGAAAATGTAAGTTTAAAATGGCTGTAGGATTCTAATCGATTGAATAATTTAGATATACTAGAAGTTTAAAAACCTATAAACACATAAAGTTGTCTTCAGATTGGAGAACTTGTTTTGATATTAAAGGGCATTTTTTTGGTTAAAAATTTCTGGGTGATTTTTAAAGAGTGTAAATTTGTGTATTATAAATTATGACATTAAAAAATAAATTATGACATTTTCTTTTATATTTTGTCTTCCCAATTTGTATTACAGCTATTTCTGATGACAGATGTTACAGATATGCAGATTGTGCTAGTTGTACAGCCAATACAAATGGGTGCCAATGGTGTGATGACAAGAAATGCATTTCTGCAAATAGTAACTGCAGCATGGTTGGTATTCATGATTAGATCGTGATGTAAACATTGCTGTATTTCTATGTTGCCATTAGATAGCACTGTACACATAGAGGAAACACTTTATACATTAAGATATTTAGAAAGTATGTACAAAATGATTCAGTGATCTGTCATGAGGTTACAGATTCTTTTATATTTATTTAAACATGTTTTATGACTTAAGATGTGCTCTATTTCAGAGAAAGGTTTGTGTGTGCTGTGAAAAATGTATATTATGTTGTTGCTGAGTAGAATATTCCTTAGATATCTTTCAAGTACATTTATTTTAAGATATGGTTAAAGTGTGATATTTCTTTGTTGATTATTTTTGCCTAGTTGACATGTTATGGTAGTGCAGTATTGAAGTTTCCCACTATATTGTGTTGATATTTATTTGATTTTCTATGTACAGTAGAATTATTTTATGGAATATGCTGGCATTCACTGAACATATTTATAATTATTATTTTTTTTCTCAAATCATTTGCTATGAAGTATGTTGTGATCATTTGTATCTCTTTTGAGCAGATTTGGCTTGAATTCCCTTTGTCTGAAAATTGGATTGATACTCCTGTTAGCTTTGGGGCTCATGTTGCATGGATATCATTTTCCATTCTTTGTCTTTCAGTCTATGTGTTATGGATAAGTTGTGTCTCTTGTATGCAAAATATAGTTGGGTTTTATTTTTGATCTGACCTGTATGAATTTATTTAGTTGAATGGATAGTTAAGATAATTTAAATTGTGAGTTATTACTGAATGGTATTGACTGATTCCTTTTTGCTTAAATGCTCACTCTATTTGATGAATTCATTCTTTTAGGCTTTTTGGTGGTGGTTCCCTCATTGTCTCTCTGTAGGGTTTCCTGGAGTACTTTTTACAGTGTTTGTTTGGTAGTCATGAATTTCTTTTTTTTTTCCTTTTTTTTTTTAAATTTTGAAGGTAGTAAAATATAACAGAACAAGACAGAATAAAGCCAATCAAGACAATACAGTGAAATTGGTACAGAACGTCGTAGCAGGTTACCAGGATAACAGTAATAGATACCATCGTATATCTCGTTACTTCACAATAGTTGTCCTTTCAATCAGGTATAGCAAAATCAAGCCAAATACAGAATATCATTAAACCTATCAAAGCATAGTATTGAATAGAGCAATACAATTAATCAAAACAAAGCAAAACAGTGATAATATTTGCCTTCAAAGAGATGGTAGAAGGAAATCCCCCATATTTGCTATATTGCATACGGTCATCTTCCCAAGAGATGCTTAGACCTCTGGCTCCCATTTGCTAACAGGGGAGTGGAGAGGAGGAAGGGATATTTGATTTTCAGCCCGGGCTGGTAGACTCATGGCTGCCTACCAGGGAAGCAAGTGGGTTGCTTTGTTGCCCAGTGCCCTAAGTTCCAACATGGTGTGGATCTTGGGAGACTCTGGCTGCCTAGTTCTCTCCCTGTATTGCCCCTAGTCATGAATTTCTTAAGGTACTTTTTGCCATAGAAAGTATTTGACCTTCAATTTTGAAAGATGTTTCACAAAGTATAATATTCTGGGTTGATGTGTAGTGGAGAGGTTCTTTTCTGATCAAGGTTATTTGGGATTCAGTATACCTCATATATCTGGCAAGTAAATTCTCTTACCTTGGACATTTTCTCTTATGATTTTGATAAAAAACTTCTTTTCTGACTTAGATATTGTCTTATCTTTCTTTAACTACTATGATTCTTAGGTTAGTTGTTGTTGAATTTGGCCAGTCATATCTTGTGTCATCTTGTTTATCTAACTTTTATGTTTTTTATCTTTTTTAACTTTATGTTTTTTGTTTTCTTTAAGCTCATAGTTCATGTCCTTTGTTAAGTCCCTTATCTGCTGACTACATCATTCTGTAGCTAGCTGAACATCTGATCTATTTTTTTCTTCTTTTATCGCATCATATATTTTAGCCATTTGGTTTTTTACTTCCTCACTGTTAGTGCTCTTGGGAAGTGAAGAATTTGTGGAAGCATCTTGTTGCCTTATTTTTTAATGTTTCTTTGACTGTGCTGAGGATTGAGGGTCAATTAGACTACAAAAACTCTGTCACTATTATGGAAGAGATTTTTTTAAAAAAATTATTTTAAAGAGAAAAAACCCTAAAATTTCAAAACAAGAGAGTAACAATGGTTAATATATTGCATGTTGTTATCTTCGAAGTAGTTATTCAGAGTGCAAGATAAAGCATGAAAAATTGTCTGAACAATATTAGTACAAGCCTGTCTTTTCAATGAACTAAGAGAAATTAGTAGTGTAAGTATATAAACTATCTTGTGTATGTATACATGTATGTATATATATATATTCTTTTTACTTTTCCCTTCCTTCTTGTCTCTTTTATCTCATCCCAGTTTCTTTTTCCTTTTGAACAGTTTCTTCCCACTTCACAATATCTGTTGTGTTTTGGATCTCCCCACTTACTCCTTCAGCTTTTCACACTAGGAAACAATACAGTGCTTACACATGTCAATCTGATTTATTTCACTTCTGCATATGGTCTTGAATTGCATCCATTTACCTATAAAAGTCTCAATTTTATCCTTCTTTATGACCAAGTAGTACTCCATTGTATAAAAATACCACATCTTTTTTTATGTTTCTCTGGTTGGTGGGCTTTTGGGTCGTTTCTACTATTTTGCTGTTATAAATTGGGCTTCTATAAACGTGAGTACACAGATATTACTGTAGTATGATGTTTTGAATTATTTCAGGAAAATACACAGAAGGTGAATAGCTGGGTTGATTGAGACCTCTGATCCTTGTTTTATGAGGACTCTCCACACTGATTTCTACAGTGGTTTACCAGTCTACACTTCCACCAGCAGTAAGGAAGGGTTCCTTTTTTCCCCATAGCTCCTCCAACATTTGTTGTTGATTGATTTCTTGATAATACCCATTGTTTCTGGAGTAAGGTGAAATCTGTGTTTTAATTTGCATCTTTCAAATGATCAATGATGTTGAACATTTTTTCAAATATTTTCTATTTTTATTTCTTCATCTGAGAAGTGTGTATTCACCTCAGATGCACATTTTAGTACTAGGTCTTTGAACTTGGGGGATCTGATATTTTTTCAATTATCTATGTGTTCCAGATAGCAGTCTTTTGTCTGACAGACAGTTGGCTATAGTTTTTTGCCACTCTTTGCTTTATTTTTTTTACTGTGTTGGTGACTTAATTTATTATGCAAAACCTTTTAATAAGGTAAGATCCCAGTTGTTGATTCTTTGAAATATTTCCCATGAGTCTGGATTTTGTTCATGAACTCTTTGCCTACACCTATGTCTTCAAGATTTTTACCTATTTTTTCTTCTAGTACATTCAGTATTTCTGTTTTAATATTTAGATTTTTGATCCATTTCAATTTTAGTTTAGTGTATAGTGATAGACATACCTAGGTTAAGTTTTACGTATGTGGAAAGCCAGATTTTCCAGCACCATTTATTAAAAAGGCTAGCTTTCTTCCAAAGAACGTGTTTGGCCCTTTTGGCAAAGATAAGGTGGCAGAGTGCAGTTGGAATTGTGTCTGCATCTTCTATTCTGTTCCATTGATGCTCAGGTCTGTTTTTGGCAAACACCATGTTGATTTTATCAGTCATTTTGTAATATAGTTTTAAATCAGGAATTGTGGTACCCCTGACTTGCCTTTGTTAACCAATATACTTGCTATTATAGGTCTCTTATGGTTCCAGTGAATTTTAGGAATATTTTCTCTAATTCTGTGAGCTATGATAGTGGCATTTTGATTGGTATTACACTAAATTAATATAATGATTTTGGGATTAGGGTCATTTTCATTGTGTTGATTCTTCCTACCCATGTGGAAGGGATATCTTTCCATTTTCTGATATTCTTTTTGCTCTACTTTTTCAAGATACTGTAATTTTTATTATATAGATCTTTTACTTCATTTGTTAGATTGATTCCTAAGTATTTGATTTTTCAAATGCTTCTGTGAAGGATGTGGTTTTCCTAATTTTTCTCTGTGTGAGTTTGTTGTTTGCATATAGGAAGATTATTGATTTTTGATTGTTGATTTTGTATCTAGCTATGTTACTGAATTTGGTTAGTAAATCTAGAAGTGTTTTGGTGTAGTTTTGGAGATTTTATATGTAGAGTATTATGTCATATGTGAATATGATAATTTCACTTCTTCCTTTCCTATCCTTTTGTATGGTTCTTTTGTAGAAAGAACCATAGTGCTCTGGCTAATATTTGCAGAAGTATAATGAACAGGATTCGTTATAGTGGGAATTCTTGTCTTACTCTTGATTTTAGAGGGAATTCTTTCAGCTTTTGACCCTTTGCTATCATGTTGATTGTTGGTTTGTCATAGATGGCTTTTATCAGCCTATAGTAAAAACTCCTCCAGTTTTCTGTAGAGTTTTTGCCATGAATGGGTGTTGGATTTTGTAGAATGCTTTTTCTGCATTTATTGAGGTGTTCATATGTTTTTTGGTTTTGGCTCTGTTAATATGGTGTATTATATTTATTGATTTTCATATGTTGGAGCATCTCTTTGTCACTGGAATGCATCCTGTTTGATCATGGTATATATACTTTTCTTGATGATTTGCTGTATTCGGTTTGCCAGTATCTTGTGAAAGTTTTGGCATCTATATTGATTACAGAGATTGGTCTGTAGTTTTCTTATCTGGTTAGGTCTTTCTGTGATTTAGGTATCAGAGTAACACTTGCTTCCAGGAGTGATTGTGGAAGTATTGTTTCCCTTTCTACTTCATTAAAGAGTTTCAGCATTAATGTGATTAGGTCTTCTGTAAATTTGTTGGGGAATTCACTAGTGAGTCCATCAGGCCATCTGAAGGTTTTTAACGACATTTTCAATGTATTGAATGATATTAGGTTATTAAGGATATTTATATTTTCTTGATTCAGTTTTGATAATGTGTATGTGTCCACAAATCTGTCTACTTTTTCATTGGTTTCCATTTTATTAAACTA